ACGGCGGAACGGCCCGGGACCGTCAGTGGGGAAAGACGTCACTGTAACACAGAACTGTCGGAGGGAGAGACGTCACTGTAACACGGGACTGTCGGCGGAGGGACGTCACTGTAACACGGGACTGTTAGCGGGGAGGGACGTCGTTGTAACACAAGACTGTCGGAGGGAGGGACGTCACTGTAACACAAGACTGTCGGAACTCGGAGGGAGGGACGTCACTGTAACACAGGACTGTCGGAGGGAGAGACTTCATTGTAACACAGAACTGTCGGAGGGAGATACGTCACTGTAACACAAGACTGTCGGAGGGAGAGACTTCACTGTAACACAGGACTGTCGGAGGGAGAGACTTCATTGTAACACAGAACTGTCGGAGGGAGATACGTCACTGTAACACAAGACTGTCGGAGGGAGAGACTTCACTGTAACACAGGACTGTCGGAGGGAGAGACTTCATTGTAACACAGAACTGTCGGAGGGAGATACGTCACTGCAACACAGGACTGTCGGAGGGAGAGACTTCACCAGGACTGTCGGAGGGAGGGACGTCACTGTAACACAAGACTGTCGGAGGGAGAGACTTCACTGTAACACAGGACTGTCGGAGGGAGAGACTTCACTGTAACACAGAACTGTCGGAGGGAGATACGTCACTGCAACACAGGGGTGCCACTGTAACACGGGACTTCCACTGTAACACGGAACTGTCACTGTAGCATGAGACTGTCACTGTAACACGGGACGGTCAGTGGGAAGGACGTCACTGCAACACGGGACTGTGGCTGTAGGGACTGCATTAGAAATACAACAACAAAAAATCATGACAATACCGGTGTTGGCAAAGACGTGTCAAGAGTTACCCATAAAATGTTAATGTACGCCGGACCCAAATGCATGTAAAAAAACGTTTTGTATTTAGCATACGTTTTCTGAAATCTGAAGCCAGCTTCAGCCAGTGCCCACTGCCCAGTGCAAAAAAAAATCAATTCTTATAAATCTTAAAAGTCTTATAATATAAGCATTTATAAGACTGGATCGCTGAGGCTCAAGTGCCTCTGTTTGCAATATCTCATCCTCAGGACATACACATCATTTTGCTCCACGCCTCAGCCCCGTATTCGATTTGGATGGTCACTTCCGTCCATGCGGGCTTAACTGTGCAGTGGGGTAACTGTGACGCGGGGACGGGTGACCTCTATATCAAGACGGGTCTAGCCCTGACCGCGTAGGAGTGTGGCCACCCAAACCAATGTCGTTTCTTAATTTCTATCATTTCGTTCTGAAATGGTCTGACTCACTAGACAAAAGGCACTTGATAGCATAGTCTAACTCAGGAAAACAACGAAAGACTCACCTGCAGTGGCTGAACACGGAGCGGCGCGTGGGTCAGCACCGGACTCGAAGCGGGCGCGGTCTGCTCGGGCCTCGGCAGCCGCCGGCTATAAAGGCCTCCCGAGGGCCCAATCAGTGGATAGGCGCACTCACGTATCAGAGGCGGAAGAAAGTGGGGTGGAATCCCCGCAAACATTGCACTATCGCATCGTTCATCGGTATCTGCCGACTAAACGGCGCCTCTTTGTTCGTGGAGTTGTTGGTTTACGGTTGTGCTCAGCATGTGATGAGATAGATGCGTCAGAAGTAGAACACTGTCTATAGCTATACAAATGTAAAGAGACATTTAGGTACTAGAGACATTTATTTATAAATTTCGTCCAAGCCTTTAAAAGGAAGGATTCACAAGGGCAGATCCACCCACTGAACAGAGCTTGTTGAGGTGACGCTGCCATCGACCCATAATTTGAGTAGAATGTAATGGATAAATAATAAAATGAAAAGAAACGATTTGTAGAAAAAAATTAATGTTTCAAATTTAATAAAGGTAAACGCACAGCACGGTATGGCGGTGATGGCAGCGCCAGCATTTACGCAGTTGCCCGAACGGCTCAAGAAATATTCTCCCGTCTCCGATGCAATGGAGAAAACAAAAACAAAGGGGCTGTCCATTGGACAGCCCCATTTGGACAGCCTCCAAAACGCACGGTTATAACCGGGACGCATGCTCTCGGCGTGCGAGGGACGCCACTGTAACGCGGGACTGCAATATAACACAAGGCTGTCACTGTAACGCGGGACGTCGGATTCGTGTTCCAGACGGGTCAGGGAGGGACGCCACTGTAACGCTCTTCCTTTCCTGTCTGTCTGTCTGTCTGTCTGTCTGTCTGTCTGTCTGTCTGTCTGTCTGTCTGTCTGTCTGTCTCTCTCTCTCTCTCTCTCTCTCTCTCTCTCTCTCTCTCTCTCTCTCTCTCTCTCTCTCTCTCTCTCTCTCTCTCTCTCTCTCTCTCTCTCTCTCTCTCTCTCTCTCTCTCTCTCTCTCTCTCTCTCTCTCTCTCTCTCTCTCTCTCTCTCTCACCCCCTAGTCTCTTTCCTATTCTGCATCTTTCTGTTTTTCTTGGTCGGTTTAGGAAGTACTTAATGTCAGTCGTTAAAGGCTAGCTATTCCCGATGCATAAATCGACCCCATTCAAATGTCCACTGTACATTCACTCATGAACCGCCGACCCAAAACACTTGAATTGCATAACATTCCACTACACATTCCCTCCTCCTTGGGGCACGGCATGACGATAATTTACATTTATTGGCATTCTAAAGACAGGTAATACGCAGGCACGCCGGCTCCCGCCGCCCAGGATCGTCTCAATTAGTGAGGTGGAACGCCGCGGCTAGCTGGTGGAGATGCCATTGAGCGGACGTGAATAGCTCGGGTGGTCGCAAAAGGCACCGTGTAGGTGGGTCGGTGACAGGGCCGTGTCGTTGATGGACAGAATACACCGGGGATGCTAGGCAGTAGAGACACCAGGCTAGGCAGGCGGAACAGGCGGGGATGGTATCCCCACCGGCGCATGTGAATGACCTCCAGTGTATAATATGTCCGATTTGCCCATTCCCCATCTACTCGTATCCGGTCTACCGATTATCTGACATTCGTAGACCAAGCGGATGGTATAGACAGTTTGGGAGCCTCTGACACTTTTTATCAGGCGTCAAACTGGCTCATTTCGACTTCACTCGACCTTGATCGGCTCCTGTCGGCCTTTGTGGACTCCGTCAGCTCCCGCCGGCTCCTGTGGGCTCCCGATCCCTCCTTCTGGCTCCCGTCGGCTCCTATCTGCTCCTGCTCGCCCTCCCGGCCCGCTCCGTCCGTCCGTCTCCGTCCCTCCCATGGCGCTCCTCGACGGAGTCACCGCAGCCCACCGGGCCACTCGTTAGGTATGCGACCGATAAGCCCGGGCCGCGACCGTTTAATGGACAAGCCATGTTAAAGCGCGGATGGACAAAGGGGTCGTTATTTGGGAGCTATCTATCCGAACCGGTGCGAATGTGAAAAATGACGACCAACCGGGAGGGAAGGGGGGGGGGGGGGTCTGAGAGGTGTAGTTGACTTCGTGAGGGAGGGGGATGTTTTACACGCAGTCACGTGTCTGAAGGACATGGCTCTGTCCCACACATTGTTCGTGAGTTTTCACGACATGTGACGGAACCGGAAACTTGGGTCCGATAAAAAGAGCGTGACCGTCTAGAGCATGTGTCATGAGACGTGGCTATATGCGCCACATCTCACGCATGTTATGAAACGTAATTTTGTAATTTGTATAGTTCCATATTTCATGCGCCACGGGGCGCACTTCGTTTCACACACGCGTTCATGGAACCAGCACTTTTCAGTGTAACTGGACAACGCCTCCGGGCTGGTATGTGCTTGGCTGCTAGGCTGCTTCAAACTGCATACACAGTTGGCTCGGGTGCCCACCGGGGACCTGACTGTCTGACCCGACTTTAGTGTTGTTCACACTGAGCAGTGGCCGCAGTGCGGCGGGCCGGCTGTCTCCACTGGTGTCAGTGACGGTTTGTGAGTTACCCAAATGACTAAATAGGCTCTGGAATACACTGTACCTAAGTATAGGCACAAATCACACAAGACCAATGACTGCAATCGGCCACAGACTTAGCAGCAGCAATATTGCAATGCACTGCGGCAATGGCAGTCGCAACTATATCTTCTGACCGACGCGATGGTTGTAGGTATAGGTAGCAACAGTCACAGGTTCCAGGGTGCCCGGCTGGTAAAGAACAAGTCACAATCTGCTTGGTAGACGAGTCTCAACCCCCTAAGAATCCCGTCAGGCGAACAGATCACGATGCCGGCGCGATTATCAATCATCATCCGTCATCCCATCGATCAATTCCGCCCTTTTCCCGCCTCACCGTCACGGTATAGCGCTCCACCGGCCCGGGCCGGATCATAATAACCCGTACCGCCCCTTAGCGTCGGCGCCGATCACAGACTCCCTGAGTCTGCAACCGCACGCCAACGGGACCCGATCAGTGATTCGGGCTCAATTTGTCACTGCGGAGCGGACGCCGCAGTGATCGGCGCCGCTGAGCTGGTGATTGATCACTCGGTGATACCGGTATTTAGCCGAGCACGGTCTCCAGGGGAGACCCGATATCGTGCTCGCAGAAAATGGTCGGTCAGCGTTCTTAGAACGGCGACTGCAGCTTGTAACGTAATGTCATAATTACCTGCAAGGGCTCCACCACCGGCGGAGGTGTGGGGGGGGGGGGGGGCACCGGCACGTCCCCCTAACCAAAATGTTGGCACTGGACTATTTTCTCATAAATTGTTCCATTTATTGCCTCTGAACTGTCATTCTACCCTTTCCCTTCCCCCGTCAGCCCACTCTCAGATCGGATACTTAAGATAACAGTATCTATAACACACGTGATGATGTGCCATTCCCACAGACGGGCAGCAGCAATCGTCCTGACCGAAAAGTAACTGCTGCTTCTTGGCCCAATATAGGTACGGCCTTGCTGGGAGCCACTGGGTCTGGGACCTGTGTCGCTGCGCGCTGCAGCCCCCTGCGTCCGGCCGCGGCGCCATGGGTTTCTTTGTGTTACTGGAAAGCTCTCCAAGACTGTTTGCATGGACATTCTCCATGGAGGCTTTGGCGCCGTGGCTGATGATGGTTGGCGGTGGCCTGCGTCCGAGTGGGTCCCGGCACCCCACTCTACCAAAGCGCCATCTACCTAATTCTACATAGATGTCGCTGTCCTCTCGGCCTGGCAGCTGTGTGGCCAGTCATAGGGGAGACCGGGGCTAGTTGGTGCCAGGGGTAAGTTGGGACGGTAGGGATATTTCCAATACTTCTCGGCAGTTGGCGTTTCAAACTTATTTTGCGCATGCACAGTAACGCCGTCTGTTTGTCAACGTTGTCGGCGCGTCCTGAGGTAAGTGCTGTTAATAATCGCTAAAGATGTGTTTTCAGGTACCTACCAAAAGTGATTTTCTTGCTTTGAAAATATTTTCTTCTAGTGTTATTGACAGTGGAAACATTGCAAATTCGCTACGCCTGACAGACCTGCGGACATTTTGGCTATGAGTAGGTACACTCTCAACCGTTCTTCGCCAAATTTTTGTGAATTGCTCACGTGGTCCCAAAATAAAAATGGCGCTTCGGGGTTAGTTGGGCCAGGTTAACCCGCGCCCCGTTGGGCTCTGCCGAGCAACGCGCCCCGTTGGGGGGGGGGCCATTTTGGCCCCCCCCTAAGATCTCGAGAACCACGCAACGTAGCGACAAGCGGCAAACGGTGTTGGATAGCCCTATCAGGGAACTACCTTGTGACCCAATTTTATTGACCTAGGTCAAACCGATGACGTCACAGGTCAGGTCAAAGGTCCAATTTTCACCGTTTACAGGCATTTCAAGAAATGCGTTGTAAAATCGAGTAAAATGCATTTCATTGAAAATCATCGATGGGGAAATGTTCTTCAAACACATATTTTGCTAGTTGAGGTCACTGATACCAGGTCAGGTCACTGAGGTCACGTCACTGGGGGGTCACAATATGAAAGTGTCGTGTGATACATGTTTTATGGTCCATTTTACATGACAAATGCGATTATGTGGGTCAGGCAGCCTTTGGGGCCAGCTTAGGTCACGTTTTGGTCAAGGTCAGGTCAAGGTCAGGTCAAGGTCAGGTCAAGGTCAGGTCAAGGTCAGGTCAAGGTCAGGTCAAGGTCAGGTCAAGGTCAGGTCAAGGTCAGGTCAAATAAGGTCAAATTTCAAAGTTGATATTTTTGCATAAAATGGGTATCGAATCGATGCAGCTCGTCACGGGGAGTTCAAAGGTGGTCTTTGTTTTGCCGTACGAGGTCTAGAATCGCTAAAAATTGAGTTCAAAAATTTGACGTCATCATTTTTGAACAGTTTTTTCGCTATAACTTGGCCAAAAAACGAGATATCGATCTGAAATTTGGCATGTATATAGAAGAGCGCAGGGACTATCACATATGTTCCGGTTTTTTCGAAATTCGGAAAAATTTTGGATTTTTTAATTTTTCTAAAAAAAATCAATTTTTTGAATTTTTTTTTTGGTCAAAAACCCAAAATTTTGAAAATCCGAGATAGCAGTTTTGTAGCACCGCTTTTTGTCTATTAGACCATATAAAGAACTTTGAAATTGCTTGATAACTGTAGATTTGGTGAGCGTTTCAAGATTGCATGTTTTTTGCTCATTTTTGCTCGAACATGACCTCAGTTTGACCTCAATAACTCCTGACCTAAGGTGACCTAAGACTTGAAATTTGGTGTGAAGGTGTCAAATTGATGCCCGGAAAGGTACTGAAAATTTGGCGGCGCTGCGCGCCGCCGTGTTCTTGCTATTCAGGAAAAACCACAGGGGGGGGGGCCAAAATGGCCCCCCCAACGGGGCGAGGGTTAATGTTGGGCAAGTTGGGCAAGATTGTCAACAGCAAGTCGAGGGAGAAATGCTCGCAATGTGAAGATTGGGCACATGTACTCTGCACAGGGAGCAGCAGAGCCTTCATCTGTCAAAGCTGTTACTCGGAGAGCGAAAGAGTGAGGTTGGTGGTGCATTATATTAAAGGGACTATCCCACCTTTAACATGGGGTTTGAGTTGAGATAGCCAAGTTTGCGGCAAGGTTCAGAAACCACTATCTATCTAGGTTGCAACCCCCGCGGCCTCTTGGTGTTGAAGAAATTCGTTCCCTTCGTTTGAAAATGGGCCTTGTACAAGGCCCTATCTTCAACATGGAGCGACCGTTAGTGTGACGTCACCTCGTTTAGTCATTCTGATTTCAATGGGTTTGTTCGTTGAAAAATCGCTTAAAACTTGGTCTGAACTTTGTTGTGGTGCCTACAGAGTAAAAAGAATCAGCTTTATGACAGTAATGTGGCCTGGGGAAGGAGGTAATTTTGGGCTGTGACGTCACATATTTGAAAGTTTGTGTTTGGAATATGGGAAGCCTAAGATGTTTAATGAAAAATAAATGCCAGAACCGTGTTCCCGGTCATCCAATCTATAAAGTCGGGCACAATTTAACTGGTTTTAACGACATTTTAGAAGGTGGGATAGTCCCTTTAACCCGCGCACCGACGGGGGGCGGATATCCGCCCCCCCCCCTGAGGTTTTTCGCGGATAGCGGGAAAACCAAATTTGGTACGACTATTCTCTCATCAATTTTGCACATGGTGTGCAAGTTTGAACCTCCTAACTTTCAAGATCAGGTCACCAGGTCACTTTGAATGACCCAACCTCAAGTCACTTTTTTGCAACTTTGTCAACGTGCCAGAGCTACAGTAGATGTCGGAGGCCTTTGAAAGTCGCAGGATGTTATTAGGTCATTAGTAGCTACAATTTTTATATCTCGGAATTTTGATGTCTGTGACCTAAGGTCAGGTCAATTTCGCTACCTCCCCATTATAAGTCAATGGGGGAAAAGCAACTCCCTGTTTTTACCACTAAAACGGGTCGGAATGGCCCCATATACCCCACATGACTTCATACACGATCAACCTTCACTACCTTGAGCGTATTTGGTATTTCCGACCTCGACGAGCGTCTGTGGTAGAAAACCACCACTTTGGTAGGGGAAACTACTGCTGTCTGCTACAATTTGCACTGCATGTCAAGCTATTGTAGCGACATCTATGCATATATGTACACATTTTCGACCTCGACCGTCGACGAAAATCTCGCGGCGCTTCACGCCGACCCGCGCCGCCCATTCATACTGAAGACCAAAAGAGATTATGAGTTCAGAGTTGTGACAAATACCTAAAGCAACCACCACGTATGATGTATACCTACAGTTGTTAGGTAACTATCAGATTGACGGCATGTGTCAACAACTGACAGCCGAGCCCATGATAGAAGACCGGAGGCTCTGGTTAACCGTGTAAAAATGAATGCCTCAGACTTATTTCAGACCCTGATAGAAGACCGGAGGCTCTGGTTAACCGTGTAAAAATGAATACTTCAGACGCGTACCGCGTAGGAATTCAGCCCAGTACCGTTGAACAGATAATGCATCGGCCTGAAAAAGTACGGTAACGATACTTAATTTTGGGTTTTTAGTCGGCCGATCCGTCCAACCTGTCGAAAATCTGTGGCGACGCCCCTGGCACGTAGGACAAAGGTACGTATCGCAAATGTTCGTACAGTATAAAGTACGCATGGACAAAACTACGTCAAGGACAAAAGTACGCATGGCAAAAGTACGTACAGTATAAAGCACGAATGGATAAAAGTACGTCAAGGACAAAAGTACGCATCGAAGAAGTACGTATAGGTGCATTATTAAGTACGCATGGACAAAAGTACGTCAAGGACAAAAGCACATATCGTAAAAGTGCACCGTTCCGTGCTTCTATCCTCAGGATACTGAAATCCTTCTCCTCCACGCCGCAAACCCCCTCCGGACTGGACAGGCAACTTTATCTCATGCGGGCTGCTCCCTTGGCCAGCGGCACCGCTGCTCCCGAGGGAGCGCACCCCGTAGCCGGGTGCAGTGAGTGCCTTGGGGCTGGGTGGCCTGTCCTCTGGACGGGCTCAGCCCCGGCGACTCACTAGGGTGCCTGCCCAGACCAATGTCTCCCCCTATATCCTATCATCCTCCCGGCTCTGAAATGGTCTTAACACGCGCAGTGGAAGGGTTGCGAGTACTACGCCCAGTGGAAGGGGGGGGGGCGGATGTCGCCCCCCTAAGATCTCAGCTCCCACTGGAGCTAGAAAGACGAAATTTGGAGGGTAGGTGGGGGCCATGGGGAACTCTGTTGTGTGTGAATTTCATGACCCTAGGTCAATATCTTCAAGGTCAAATGAGGTCAAATGTGGTCAAATCTGCCATATTAGCGACTTTTTTGCGTTTACATGCCGATAACTCAAAAAGTTACTAGCCGATTTTCTTCAATCTTTCACTATACGAAAGAACAGACATTTGTGAGTATGTATGGTGAATTTCTAGATAATCCAACAATAAATATGGCAATTGATAAATTCCTTTTTAATGACCTCCTTACAAATTATTTATGTTTTTGATGTATTTAGCTTGATACAAATTTTCGGCCACGGGCCTTGATCACATATCAGTTTAAACACAGACTGTGTTTAAACACAGACTGTCTGTGTTTAAACTGATATGTGATCAAGGCCCGTGGCCGAAAATTTGTATCAAGCTAAATACATCAAAAACATAAATAATTTGTAAGGAGGTCATTAAAAAGGAATTTATCAATCACCTACATGCCTTACATACAAAGAGCACTACAAGAAATAAATATGGCAGTTAGAAGCCTGCTAAGGGTAAGATGTCGCCGGCTGAAGCGGGATCGGCCGACGCGGGAAACGCGGCAATCACAATTTTGTGTTTACACACTCATAACTTAAGTTGTTACCGGCCGATTTCCAAAATTCTTTGACCATGTGATTGCCTGTACATTTCTCAGTCTTCTCACCGAATTTGACGCGAATCTAATGTAATCAGCGGTAAGGAGCGCGATGTAAAGACGGAACCGTCCCGCCCCGGCACAGTCTACAATTCAGGCGGCGCGTAACGGCTAGCGCCGGCCGCCGCGCCGCCGCGCCGCCGCGGCGGCAGGATGTTTGACTTTACACCGCTATTACTAGAAAAGTTGTGAACCGATTTTCTTACCTCTTGCATGAGAAGATCCGCAATTCAATTCTG